AACATGAGTTTTGTGTGTCCACCATGAGCTTTATGTGTCCACCATGAGCTTTGTGTGTCCACCATGAGATTTGTGTATTCACCGTGAGTTTTGTGTGTTCACTGTGAGTTTTGTGTGTCCACTGTCAGCTTTGTGTGTTCACTGTGAGCTTTGTGTGTCCACCGTGAGTTTTGTGTGTGAGCTTCATGTCTTCCAGTTTCCTGTTGGTTGTGTGTGATTTGTGTAAGCTGTGTGTGTTGTGGTGACTTGGTGCCATCCTAACTTGTTGCTTTGTTTAGAGGAATGAGCCCAGCTGAAGCAGAGCTGCACTTCCTGGAAAACGTGAAGAAACTCTCCATGTATGGAGTTGACCTCCACCATGCAAAGGTAAACATGACATGTTCTCTGGGAGTTTGGTAAACCAACTACAAAACATCTAAAGGTTGTTCACAAATCAATGAATTTAAGTATTTCATCTGTCCTGTTTTTTAATTWATTTTTTTCATCTGTGATTTGAATTCAGAATAACTCGGTCAATCAGAGCAGTGTCAGAAACTGACGTGTGTGTAAACAGATGAACAAGTTAGTCCAGCCACAGAAACAGCTGATCTTCTTCTCTTGCTGTTTTAAACACACTTTTATTCCCTGGCCTTCAACCTAGTGAATTTGATTCAAACCTTCTGGTGTTTTTATTTATGTGGTTCTGATTGATATTGTTCCCTGTGATGGACTTGTGACCTGTCCAGGGTGTACCCCGCCCCTCACACTGTGACTGCTGGATATGGGCACCAGTGACCCTAGAAAAGGAATAAATAGGTTTAGATAATGGATGGATAAATGATATTTTTACCTCTTTTGATTTCTGCATTCTATCCTGTGTCTTGTGCTTCTTTGTTTTATTGTCCAGTACTTTGGAAGTGTTTTGTAAATGAAATGTTATTGTACGGTCTCTCAGTGCTGCAGTTTACAGTCCAATAAATCACTCAGACATGACCTTCTTCCTGCATGATCGATAACTTCAATGTGTTGCAACACAAAAAAGATTTTTCCATCATGACTGTTGCTTCAGTCTGTCAGAAACACTGAAACCCTTCAGACCTTACCACAGATCAAACACACAAAAACTGCAAGTTCAATTGTGTTTTTAACTGTTTATTTCTTTAAACATCCATCCATCCATCCATCCATTTTCTTCCGCCTATCCGGGGTCGGGTCGCGGGGGCAGCAGCTTCAGAAGGGAGGCCCACACCTCCCTCTCCCCA